GTATCCAAATAGGGTCAGAGGAGATCAAATGCTCACTCTTTGCTGATGATATGATCCTATACTTGGAAAATCCCAGGGATTCAACTTCAAAACCCTTAGAAGTGATTGAGGAATACAACAGTATCTCAAGATACAAAACCGATACTTATAAGTCAGTAGCTTTTATATATGCCAACAATAGTCAAGCTGAAAATATAGTCAAAGACTCTATTCCTTTTATAGTAGTGCCAAAGAAGATGAAATATCTGGGAATTTACCTAACAAAGGATGTGAAAGATCTCTATAAAGAGAACTATGAAACTCTGAGAAAAGAAATAGCTGAAGATGTCAACAAATGGAAAAACATACTATGCTCATGGCTGGGAAGAATTAACATTGTTAAGATGTTCATACTACCCAAAGCAATCTACAGATTTAATGCAATTCCTCTTAAAGCATCATTGTCATACTTTAAAGAACTTGAAAAAATTACTTCATTTTATATGGAGTGAGAAAAAATCTTGAATAGCAAATACATTACTCAGAAATAAGAACAAATCAGGAGGTATCATAATACCAAGAGTTCAGGCTATACTATAAATCTATAGTGATCAAAGCAGCATGGTACTGGCACAAAAACTGAGAGGTAGATTTATGGAACAGAACAGAGAACCAAGAGATGAACCTAACCACTTATCATCATATGATTCTTGACAAACCTATCTAAAATTCAGTGGGATAAAGACTCCTTATTTAACACATGGTGTTGGATGAACCAGCTGGCGACTAAAATTGGACCCCCACCTTTCACAATTAACAAAAACTGATTCTCACTGAATAAAAGATTTAAACTTAAGATATGAAACTATAAAATTACTAGAAGACAGAGCAGAGAAAACACTTGAAGAAATCAGCCTTGGAAAATATTTTATGAGGGGGACCCCCCCAGGCAATTGAAGCCAACACCAAGTAAGTAAAGCAAACAGACAACCTTCAGAGTGGGAGAAGATTTTTCCAGGTTATGCTTTTGACAAAGGTCTGATAACTAGAATCTATAGAGAACTCAAACTAATCAATAAGAAAAGACAACCCCATTTCTATGTGGGCAAGAGACTTGAATAGAAACTTCTCTGATGAAGACAGAGGCATAGTCTATAAACACAAGAAAAATGCTCATCATCCTTACGCATCAGAGAAATGCAAATTAGAACCACTTTGAGATATCATTTAACTCTAGTCCCACATCACAAAATCCCAAAACTACAGATGTTGGAGTGGATGTGGACAGAAGGGAATGCTTCTACACTGCTGGTGGGAATGCAAGCTAATACAACCTTTTTGGAAAGAAGTTTGGAGAACACTCAAGGAACTAAAAGTAGACCTACCATTCGATCCTGCAATTCCTCTACTTGGTATATACCCAGATGATCAAAAATTATTATACAACAGACATGTGCACCAGAATTTTTACTGCAGCCCAATTCATAATTGCCAAGACGTGGAAACAGCCCAAGTGCCCACTGACCCATGAATGGATTAACAAATTGTGGTATATGTACACCATGGAATACTATGCAGCCATAAAAAGATGGAGATTTTACATCTTTTATGTTTACCTGGATGGCGCTGGAACATATTCTTTTTAGTAAAATATCTCAAGAATGGGAAAAAAAGTATCCAATGTACTCAATACTACTATGAAATCAATATATACTCAATCACCTACACCTTCTTATAAACGGCAAAACATAACTATAGTCCAGAAAGTAGAAGTAAACAGGAGAGTGAGAGGAGGGAAGGAGGGATATGGGAGGAGGGAGGGTATTTGGGGGGATCTCACCTAATGCGCATGATGCAATGGTACATTTCAAAACTATTAAGAAATGAATGTAATTGTGATGGATGTGTTACTTAGTTCAATGTAAGCATTTTACATTGTGTATCAAAGCAGTACACTGAACCTCATAAATGCATCAATGTACAAAGTTATGATTTAATAAAAAATAAAAAAACACATGAAGATAAAAAGAACCTCTATCTAGAATATATAAAGAATTCTTAAATTCAATAAGATGAAATATGAGAAATGCAAATGAAAACTACAATGAGTTACTACTTTCCACCTACAAGAATGATTCTAAGGACAACATGGCTGGTGAGGATGTGAAGAAACTAGAATCCTATACATTGCCGAGGGGAAGGAGAATGTGGCGCCAGTGCTTTACACAACAGTTTTGCAGTTTCTTAAAAAATTTGGACATAAATTCACCATACCACTATACAATTCAGGAGTTCCATTTTATGTATCTACTCAAGAGAAATAAAAATATATCTCAAAAGACATTCATGTGAATATTCATAGCAACACAGTTCATAATAGCCAAAAAAGAAAACAAAAATGTCCATCTACAGGTAAATATATCAACCGAATATTTATAAACTTCTACAAGCTTAAGTACCATCCTGTATCCATAAACTGCAAAGTGAACAGACAATTGTCCCTAATCACCCACTAGGGACCAGTTCCAGGATCTCCCTTGGAGGTTAAAATATACAGTCTTGGCTTGGCGCCTGTAGCTCAAGTGGCTAAGGCGCCAGCCACATACACCTGAGCTGACGGATTTGAATCTAGCCTGGGCCTGCCAAACAATGACAACTACAACCAAAAAATAGCCAGGCGTTGTGGTGGGCGCCTGTGGTTCTAGCTACTCAGGAGGCTGAGGCAAGAGAATGGCTTAAGCCCAGGAGTTGGAGGTTGCACTCTACCCAGGGCAACAGCTTGAGGCTCTGTCTCCAAAAAAAAAAAGATATACAGAGTCTGAAGTCCCTGATACAAAATGGTATAGAATTTGCAGGTAATCTATGCAAATTTTCATGTATTCTTTAATTCATCTCCAGATTACTTGTAATATCTAATACAATTTAAAGGCTATATAAATAGAGGTTATACTATATTGTTTAGGGAATATTGACAAGAATGTTGAGTATGAAGGAGTCTGCTTTCTGTAAGTAGTTTCAGGACTTGGTTGGTTGAAGTCCTGAGTACAGAAGGCCCTCACTCTATTATAAAAAGCTAGTCTGTAAGTTTGTGGTATGTTACCCCTTATCTGGAAACTCAGAAATTCTATTAGAGGTAAAGTTATTTAACATATTATTTTTTAGTTAACTAAAAGAGTTTTACATTGCAGCACCAAATCTTTGACAGAATTCACATTATTGGCTATTCAGTCAATTTCTTGATATCAAACTATTTAAGAAGTGATTTTCAAATGGTGTGCTGCAAAAATTTTTAAAGACCATTAATTAAATTATTGGGTTTTTTTTACATGCATATATAGATTATATTTAAATTCATATAGACTATCTACATTTTTAAGTTATATTTTTGAAATCAGAAGATGAAGTACAGCATAAGTTTTACAACAAAGAAAAGAAAAATACACAAGACAAAAATAGAGTTAACAGTAAAAAATACAGCTATCTGGAATGTAGAAACTTTTTGTCAGAAAGTTACATCTTCTTAATCTGATTGTCCAAATCATTAAAATATGGATGATTCAATGCCATTTTGTCAGAAATTCATTTGGCAAGATCATAGACTAACATTTTCGAGAGCAAATCTAAGCCATTTTCATCCAAGTTTTTGACATGGGATGCTAGACTTCCTGGTTTCCACTTGGGAAATGTATTCTTATAGTCCTGTAAAGATTCTACTTCTGGCCACACTTCATTATTGGGAGTGCTCAAAGCTCTGGAAATCCTGAAGAGTTGATCAATTTCTGAGTCACCATGGAAAAGTGGTTTCTTAGTTGCTAATTCTGTAAATATGGTGCCTATACTCCAAATGTCAACTGGAGTTGAGTAATGAGCTGATCCCAGCAATACTTCTGGGGATCTGTACCACAGTGTTACTACCTCAAGTGTATATACCCGAATAGGTATTCCAAAAGCTCTGGCGAGGCCAAAATCAGCCAGTTTAATTGTGCCTTTGTCATCAATTAGGAGATTTTGAGGTTTTAAGTCTCGGTGAAGAACTCTTCTAGAGTGACAAAACACAGTCCCCTGGAGGATTTGGTATAAATAACTCTTAACAAGTAAAGAATCCATGAACTGACTAGGAGGGATAGAATCCAAATATTTCTTGAGGTCCATGGAAAGAAATTCGAAGATAAGGTATAACCTGGAATCCTGCATAAGCACATCTTGAAGACTGACTATATTTGGATGACGAAGTTCTTTTAATAGAGAAATTTCCCGGATTGCAGTGCTAGGAACCCCTTCCTCTTCACTTTCTAGTCTGATTTTCTTCATGGCTACCACTTGATCTGTAGTTTTGTGTCTACCCTTATACACAACTCTATAGGTACCCTTTCCAATTTTCTTTACTTTGGTATAATCTTCCATAGTTAATCAATAAGTATGGCAGAACCTCAGCAACTCTACCCAGCTTATTATCCCATGGCGGTCGCAGTGGCAGCTACCACCTTAGCGTCGCTACTCTCTCAACTCCCAGGAGCCAGCTTTGAAGCTAAGAGTGATAAATTGTCAAAAGAAGTTCAAAGCACAGTAAGTATATTCTTGTTTTTACTGTTGTTTTGATCAACATAATTTAATTGTGATGGAGAAGTTTAACCATAGGTGAGATTAAGAAAGATTGAAAAATACTGCCTTAGATCACAATTTAGTATGAGCCAGAAGGTTTTCAAACTAAAACAAATTTGTATGAATTAGAAAGATAGCAAGATTAGAGAGAGAAGATGCCATGCCAAAATTAATACTACATTTTAATCCAACAAGGGATGTGACCTACCCTTCTCATAAAACAGGAAGGAGGATTTAACCAAGGGTAAAGACTGGATTCCTTTCTATTCCTCTATTTACAGTCTTTCCATCACTTCATTTGAGTGTTGTAGTAATGAAGCGATAACTAAGACTGATGTAATGTACTTGAATGTGGACAAGCAGTTAGAAAGGCTGGTGGGCACGGTGTCACCATGCTTTCAGGAATTACATTAATTTACCTTGCAGCACTACAGAGAGATGTTTGCTTTCTAGCACATACACAAGTTCTGCTGAATGTCTGAGGAATGCCCTAAAAAGAGAAAAAAAAAATACTGTTAAAAATCAAATTTCCACTACAAATATATTTTAAAAGTACTTGAAATCAAGCAAAACTAATCTTTAACTATACACGTTTCTCAACTAATGCCAGGGGGATGTCCTGATGAACTCAGTATAAGCTGAAAATATCGTAAGTTGAAAATTCAAGGCTGGCTGAGTTGCAGCTCCCTGCCACTGCCCAGCACTGAAAGAGAGCGTTAAGCACCATTCCACTGCCTCCCAAATGCACACAGCTTTCACACCAAGGTGAAGTCAGCACATAACAGGTGGAGCCATCCTATGCTGGGACCATCTGTACACATTTGTATTCTCAATCTTTATGAATTTTTGTGATATTTATATGCTGTTGTAATTATAAAATTTGTGGTATTTATATGCTTTTGTAATTACAAAATTACATTTTGTAATTTTTACTTTTATTTTTGGGAGACAAGAGTCTCCCTCTGTCACATAGGCTGCAGTGCAGTGGTGAGATCACAGCTCAGTACAACCTCAAACTCCGGGGCTCAAGTGATCCTCTTGCCTCAGCCTTCTGAGTTCCATCCTATACAGATGTGTGATACAATACTCAGCTATTTTTCCTATTTTTTGTGGAAATGGGGTCTTGCTATGTGGTCCAGGCTAGTCTCAAACTCCCTGCCTCAGCTTCCCACAGTGCTGGGATTACAGGCATAAGCCACATAATTGGCCAATTTTATAATTTTTATATCATGAAAATTGACCCTTATCAAAGACAGGGTTTATAACATCCATGAAATGACAAAACTATAGAGATTGAGAGGAGGTTAGTGGTGCCAGTGGATAGGACAGAGACTGAGGGGTGCAACTGTAAGAGGGGTGACATGAGGGAGCCCTGCAGTGACAGAACAATCCAGTATCTTGACTCCGGTGGTGGTGATATGAACCCACGTTGTGCTGAAACCGCACAGCCCTATGTGTACACACCAGAGCGTGTAAGAACTGGGGACACCTGAAGAAGAGCTACCAGCTACACCAGTGTTAGTTTCCTGGCTTGATGCCAGTTGTGTGAGATGTTACCACTGGGGGGAAAGAGTACGTGGATTGATGCACTACTTTTGTACCTCCAGTGAACCTGTAATTATCTCAAAATAAAAAGTTATGGAAACAATAGAAAGAAGTTGTACAAACCTTACATATTCCAACCACCGAGTATTTTCCAATGTAGATAACCATTTCTCTTCAGTTTCTTCAAAAGGCTCTGTAATAAATATGATAATATACAGACATTTTGGGGTTAAGAGCTACATCACAGTTACTAATATTTACAAGCTGGCTTTAAGTGTCATGCATTTTCATTAATAATACACCGTAAACATCTAAGAAGACATGGTATAATTCTGCAACAAAACATCTCCTAGGCTTCCACCTTTTTTTCCTCTGGCTCTTCCAGGGAAATCTCAAGTAGTTCCTAGGCTTTCCTTCTCAACCCGTGCCTTGATTCTGGCCCTCTCCAAGTACATGAACCCCTGTCCAGGCCACAGCCCTTGGCTTCCTGACTGTGAACCTGGCCTGCTCTGATTATCTTCTCTTCCTTAATGCCAGTGCTACCTCTGTGCATAGCTCTGAGTGGCCCTGGTGGCTGGCCGCTGCAGGAATGAAAGATCCCCTCACTGCCCTGCCTAGAGTGCTGATAATCATCCAAGGCACTCTTTTTCGGAAGCCTACCCTGGCCCTGCCCCTGCAAAGCTCTCCTTCAGGCAAGTCCCCATCCACTGCAGAAGACCTCTGGCAAGGCTGCCTCTCTTGTCTCCCATGTGATTTCGGAGCTCCCTCAAAAAGAAGCTGTTTAATGGCAAAGATGCTGTCACGTGACTAATCCTCTAGGGCACACCAAAGCCACCTGACAAGAGTTCGCTCAAACAGATATATTAGAACTCTGAAGCTGCAGATAAAACACATCAGTCTCTTATCCATCTAAAATTACCTATCTCAAAATAAAACTTTATTAAAGTCTTAATAAGTTTGCCCGTAAGGCACTACAGTGCTCTATTTAGCAAATGCTTTTATTTATTTTTTTGAGAAAGAGTCTCACGAAGTCACCCTCAGTAGTGTGCCATGGCATCACAGCTCATAGCAACCTCAAACTCTCAGGCTTAAGCAATTCTCTTGCCTCAGCCTCCCAAGTAGCTGGGACGACCAGGTGCCCACCACAACGCCGCCTATTTTTTGTTATTGTCATTGTTATTTAGCTGGCCCAGGCCGGGTTGGATCTGCCAGCACCCTAACCACTGATCTATGGACGCCGAGCCAAGCAAATGCTTTTATAAAAAAGTATTCTACTATAGCTATCATAACTTGATGGAAATTTAATAGGATCACTCTTTTTCACCTCCAATACAAAGAGCAGTTTAAACATTACTTTCTAGGAAGTTCTGAAATTCTCATTCATTCATACAAATAATTCTTTTCTTTCCTTTTTTTTTTTTTTGAGACAGAGCCTCAAGCTTGTGACATCACAGCTCACAGCAACCTCCCATTCCTGGGCTTAAATGATTCTCTTGCCTCCGCCTCCCAAGTAGCTGGGACTACAGGCGCCCACCACAATGGCTGGCTATTTTTTGGTTGTAGTTGTCATTGTTGTTCGGCAGACCCAGGCTGGATTCAAACCCGCCAGCTCAGGTGTATGTGGCTGGTGCTTTAGCTGCTTGAGCCACTGGCGCCAAGCCAATTCGTATAAATATTTCAACGAGACTACTTAAATATACCTATTTCTATATTTTTGGGGAACATCACATGTCTCATACAATTCTGTATCCCTTCTGTTCATTACATACAGAAAATGAAAATAAAATTACCATTAACGCATAGTTGCTTCAGTTTTACAAATGCTGTCTGTATTTCCTGAATATTAGGCAAGCTCTTATCCAAATCCGATTTGTAAACATCACTTCTCTGTGGATGACTTTTCGTAATTGCATTACAAATCCTAGAAAAGACAAAATGCTTTAGTCACTGTTCATTCATTTCTTCAACATGTATTTATTAAGCACTCACTATAAGCCAAGGCACTACTCTAACAGCTGGGGACAGACAGATGAACCCGCAGGCAAGGTCTTCTTCCTCATGGAATTTGCATTCCTGAAGGGAGTGGGGTAAATAAAGAAAAAATCTTGGGCTATGGCAGATTCCACGATGCGGCATCAAGTGACCACAGATTACTTTAGGTCACACAGTCAAAAAAGATTCCTCTGTGATGACAATACTGCAGGTGAAACCCAAAGGACCAAGAGCAATGCAAAGATCTGAAGGAGCGTGTTCCAGGTAGAGGGACAGCTGGTGCAAAGGCTTGTGGGAGGAAACAAGCTGCTGGAGAAACCTGGAGAAGGCAAGTGGGCCTCGGTGACATGCCTGTGGGAGACAGGTGTGGAGAAGAGACTGGACAATGGAGAGAATCTGATGTATTTAGTTGGAAAAATCACAAGGAATTAAAGTAATTCTTAGTTTAATAAATTAAATAATTGAAACTGCCACTGGCTATAAGGGTTTGCAACTGTCACTGACAGGGCTGTGATCGTTCCTCTAATGGCAAAATTCCTACATGAGCCCTTGTCAGCATACATGGTAGTGAAAATAAGTCCTGGACCGTGACACAGAAGACAGATAACCACTAATGTAATGAAGATAAAATTACAGCCCACAGAGAATGTGGAGTTCTATGAACTGTAGTCACCTCCTTTCCAGAGAAGTGAAAGGTCATTTGACAGTTACTTGCTTCAGCAAGGGTGGCTTTGTTAAGTTATAGTGCTATGGAAAAAACCTAAGATCTGGCATGTGTCAACAGTGGACTTTGATAAACAATATAACTTTTGAGGCTCTCTGAGCCTGCTGTCTAAGATCTGTTCTTTAGTTCCTCATTTATTCAACAAGTATTAAATATGGTTAAGTGCTTCCTCAGTGCTGAATATACAACAGTGTGCAAACCCCTCACCTCACAGAACTTACAGTCTAATAAAAAAGGCAGTAACAAATTGTAACATGTATGTAGAATTAAAAACTAAAATGAATGTCCTGAAGAAGAATTCAAGAGCGCTAGAGAGTATGTACCTGTGAAGAGTGATCTGACTTCAGAGGTTAGGAGGAAGTGTGTCTGAACAGAGACAAAGAATGAGTGAGTGCCGAGTGGTGGGGGCACAGGGTGCTCGCTCCTGGGAAAACATCAGGAGATTGAAAACACCTGGACTGAAAGTTCCAGGTGGCTGGAGCCCGGGGAGAGGGCTATGGAGGGAAGAAGTGCTGACCCCTGTGATACATGGAGAGGTGAAGCTGGGCTGGAAGCACATGGTCTGTGTGGTTTCTTAACAGAGAAGTGACAAAAGTGGAGGAGGTACTGGAGATGGGAAAGGGAAGGAAAGAGGAAGGCATCAAGGATGACGCCTCAGTTTCTGAGAGCATGCTGGGGAGGACATGGTGACCATACACGTGAGTTTGGTTTTGGATATAATGAGTTTAAGGGGCCTTTGAGACCTCCACATGGAGGATGTCAAATCAGATTGGAGATATAAATGTGCTGGTCCCTAAAGTCACAGCGGTAGGGGAACTTCCTTTGGAAGGGAATACTGAGTGTGAAGAAGAGATGGCTTTAGACAGACCCTATGTGACGCCTGAAGACAAGAGGATGGGTGTGCAGGGGCACAGAGCACCAGCAAGGGGGAGGCACTCAGGAGCAAAGTGTAGGGCGCAGAGGCCCAGGGCCTCGCTGGCCTGAAAGAGAGTGGTAGATAGTGCTGCCTGCTGCTGTGAGCATGACTGAGAAAGACTTCCTATTCTAATGACACGGAGGCTTCCTATTCTAATGACACAGATGATACCAAACTTGTCACTGGTGGGGAAATAAAACCAATGTTCTAGCTACTGTGACATTACAGACCTAAATAAAACACATCGAACGGTAAGAAAAGTTTGATTTATGCTTAAGCGTCTCAACAGTTTAGCACTGCACTTTGAAAGTATGTTAAAGGAAATGTTATAGCAAGGTGTTAGGAATGTAAGCTCCTTATTAAGTGTCTTACAAACTAAAGAATTAAATTATATTTATTTTATCTTATTTTTTTTTTTGAGACAGGGTCTTACTCTTGTCACCCTGGGTAGAGTGCTGTGCTGTGCTGTCATACCTCACAGCAACCTCAAACTCTTAGGTCCAAGCAATTCTCTTACCTCAGCCTCCTGAGTAGCTGGGACTACAGAGGCCTGCCACACACCTGGCTAGTTTTTCTATTTTTAGTAGAGATGGGGACTTACTGTTGCTCAGGGTGGTCTCAAATTCCTGAGCTCAGGGATCCACCCACCTTAGCCTCAAAGAGTGTTGGGATTATAAGTGTGAGCCCACTGTGCCCAGCTTTTAATATAATTTAAATGTTAATTATATAATTATAACTTTAATATACTCGCTCTTCTCAAAATGGTAATTCTTGTACAGAATATATGGTACTAACTAAAAGACTGTGCTATTTTCAATTAGTAGGGAACTTACTGCAGTTATTTATGACAAGTACAACTGTCTGAAGTGGCAGTGACCATTCAGATTACCTCTGGTCGATTTTCCTTTGCTGCAGCATGTCTTTGATGATGACCATCCGCACAAGAGCACTGCCGTTTGAGTGGCTCCAGCACCAGAACTAAGGGAGGGGCAGAATGTTTACTCAACTGTGTATAAACAATGGGCATCAGCATTCATGAAATCCAACAGAAATCACTTACTGGCATCCTTCTTCCAACAAATGAATGGGAAAAGGTCTTTAGATCTTGGTCTGCTAAAGAACTTGGCACTACAAAGTACTCTGGAAGGCTGGAGAGAAAAGAATGAACAGTACATAAGAGTTCTGTGTTAAAGGCCCCTGTAGACCCAGAGATAATTAAACACATTTACCCACTTTATGCGCCCCACTCAGCCACATGTGAGCACAATAAAGGCACTGACCATTCTAGATATCTCAGTCTAAACCATGTGTGATGTGACTTGTTCTCACAAAATTTATATTTACAGTATGAGAAAAATCCAAAGAAGATATGTGAAATATTTTCCAGAATGACATGTATGTTAAGCAAACATACACGTAACTGCTGAAAAGCAGAGACTGTGGCTAACAAGGCAAACAGAACAAAACAAAGCCTCACAAATCTTCCAAGGAGCTTTGGCTCCCTTCTTATCTCCCTCTTCTGCCCTTCTGCATCCCTGAAAGGCACAGTTGCTAGGACCCTGATCAGACACCATCACTAGTGGGTAAGCACGATGTCCCTTAAGACACCTCCTACTCTCTTCTTTCCTCGAAGCGGCCGGCAGGCTCCATTGTGAGCTTCTCGGCCTGTACACCATGAAAGGCAAGTTCCCTGGGATTGAGACGACATGGGCAGGGTGACCAGATTTTAACATCTGTAAGGTGGGACAACATGGCGTGGGGGCGGAGTGGGGGCAGGCAACCGGGGCAGGCAGGGCCTGACAACAATGCAAACTTTGATAAGCAGTTTTCGATAATCACTTCTCAGCAATTATTTATTACAGTTTAACATTATAAAATTAACAAAAATAATATAAAACTCATATTCTGGCGAAATAGCCATATGGCGGCCGAAAACCCTTCTTGTTCTCCAGCCCGTTCCTGCATTCTTTCCAAAAATCGGGACTTTTTTTTTTT